GAATCGTATTGATAGAAATCGGTCCTGGAAAAACTCCGAATTAAGGTTGCAGACTACCCAAAAATTCGCTGAAAAATCGAATTTGTAAATTCATATTGAGTGCTACGTCAGTTGAAAGAGCATGAATAGCTGCAAATTCTCTGAAAATTGTGTCCCGATCTCACCAGCCGTTCAAGAGTTACGGCCGATAATGTGCCCTTGCAAGGAAAGATTTTTTTGTTGCACGCTGTCATTTGTTGGCAGCACTGTATTTGAATGTGAACCGTGCACAACTTGTCGTATCATGGAAACACGCGAAAGTGTGCAGAATTTTGCTCCAAGTCCAAAAATCACGTTAAAAACCACGTATTGGGCTGCACCGCGGCGGGCCAAGCCCGCCGCCGTGCAGCAGGACTTTTACAGCACCCTCGTGACGTTGCATATATGTGGCTTGATTTTTGTAGTTGACGTTGATTTAGTGACTTTGGCAAGTTTGAGTCATGTCAAGAAGTCAGGTAGGATTCAGTACTAGGTGTAGCGAATCCCAACGTTGGCACCAATTATGTAGCGGGCCGCAGTCTCTCTCGGAGGCAAATGTACACGGGTCTCAGTGAACACACTGTTGTTCACTTTATTATTACTAAAGACTGGATTGAAGGTTGAACTTTAACTCTAAACTGACATTTCCAACTGGCATCTCTAACTGGCGTTTCTAACTGGCGTGTAGAGAATTGTGAACGGCAGCTTTTATAGGCAGACAGCATAAAGGCTGCAACAGCAATGGTCACGGCGAAGCTCAGCAGAGAGAAGAAGAAAGGTCAAAGTATGATGTGTGGGCTACAGTCATTGCACAAGGAATGCCATTTGATTCTATGCAGAAGAAGGAGCTGAATAGCAGTGTGGGCAATGGGCGTAAAAGAGGTACCGGGAAGACAGCCATTAGGAATTCTACGGAAGTTTCATTAGAATGTGTGTAGATAAATGAAAAGGAGGTTGAAAGTGAAATGCATCAAAAGGGTCTACAGGTTACATGTGCTAGTATTGCTCAGGTCATCCTAGTGTGTGGAAGTAATACATGAACACAGTGAGACTAGTTACTATGCACGTCATGGGTTTGCAATAGGCCTTGACGGATTATGCTAGCATAATTTTTCGCATAATTCCTACCAAAATCGAATAGTCGCATAATTCGAGGCAAATTGCATACGAATCGCATAAATTGGAATAATCCGCCTGTTCGCATCAACTTCCATACAGTTGTACATGTTCTACAAGTACAAGTACAAGTTGATGCACCAGGAAGTCGTAGGTTTACGACTCCCTTAATAACATGTCCAGTCCACTACAATCAGTGACGGTACATGTAGGTCGGACGGTGCGTTGACCCCGTTGAACTTTTGCTACTACAGTACAGCGCCCTCTACAAAAAAATTCCCCTGTTATTTTGCACAGAACCATCATAATTATACATTAGCAGCATATGTGAGCATAATGCGGCATAATAACGTTTAGCATAAAAATAGCATAATTCTGCAATTTTTTCAGCAATGCGAAAAGCATAATTTCACGAAAATATTAGCATAATCCGTCAAGGCCTAGTCTGCAAGCATGGTAGTAAGAGTTGCAAGTTCGGGGTGCGGCGCGGTGCAACACGCGTGACCATTGACCAATAGGCATTGAAAGTGATTCACGCTGCACTGCAGCTGCACTGTGTAAGTTACTAGCGTGCCAACGCTACACTAGGCAGTAGTGGAACGTGAGTGGTAGTCTTTGCCGGTTTTTGAGGGTATCCTCACTATCCTGGATTTGGTGTGCAGCGCTGTGGAAATGGCTTGCTGTGGAGGTCCTAGCACTGGATGTTGTATCAAAGGTACGACCTCGTAGCACGTGCTAAAGCTAAACAAATTCTTGGGTCTGTGGGAGTCTGTGAGAGAACGCCCACTCGTTCCGTTGTGAGAGATTCCAGGGCCACGTTGAGGGGCCCTACCCCACCACCCATGGCTGCTTCAGGACTTGTTAGGTTTGGATCCCGCGCACGGACAGAATGGGCACGAAAATGTGAAAAAATTGTAAAATTTACATTTGTTTGGCTCCTGGGTGGCTCGCACACCGTGGCAATATGCCGGAATTTTGAGTTTTTCCGGCCTGGAAGGCCTGACAGTGAGGCGCAACAACTTAAATCATGTCCTGAGGGCCAGCATAGTGGCAGGAGTGTGTGGTCAAAATTTCACTCAAATCCATGGAGACACACCAAAGTTACGGTCAATTGAATGCCATAATGAAATTTATGGGTAGGCTGCCCCCAAGAGGGCCAGGGATGCACAATGGCGTATGAAGTAGGACTACATGATTGTATTCAGTCTTGTACAGGAATCAATGTAATACATTAGTACAGTATGAATGGGCGCTATAGGTCATGCCGTACCGGCCTTGCAAGCAGGGCTATCTAGCCCTAAGTGGTTGCGCGGGAGAAGCACTTAGAATGCACACGTGCCTGTGAACCACAATGTAACTAGGAGGTTGTGTAATAGTGACAGTCAGGGATACTACATCATCACGTGACGTCTGCGCAAAGCCGTGCGCGACTCCACGCTTTTGTATTGGACTGTGGGCCCTGAATGTGGGATAGAGGGAATTTAGTTTCAAGTACTTGGTCCGCCCAGTTACAATTGGCGCTTATCTTCACACTTGTCTCAGGAAGGAAATACGAATATTTGAAGCAAGCCACGATCACAAAGCACCATGTACATGATTATTTACATGTCAGTAAGCAACTCAGTCGAAAATTCAAGCAAGTTACACATCCTTCTCGCCACTATCGTCGCTGGAGGAAGAGTTCAAAACGTTCGATCCGGACAGCTGCTGCACGTTTCATAGCTTGTTCCACTTCTCCTCGTCTCGAATCACGCTCAAAGGCAGTGCGTGCCTGTCACCTTGCCGATCAGAAGCTGAGTGAGACTGCCCGCATGTTGGCTGTAATTGTTATCCCCATTCGTCGCAATAATGCGACTTTGTTTGAGACAAAAAGGCAACGCCATATCAGTGTCCTTTTTTCAAATCGCCTCTTGCGCTTGTCGTACTTGCTGATCAGCACCCACGTGAGCCGCTGGTGCTTGTACATGCAGCGCAGTGATAGCTTCCACTTGATGTAGCAGCTGTGCGTATTGCACCTAATTCCTAAGTCCTTAAGCCGTGCACCAGGTTTTTCGGCTAGTTTCCTGAAAGTCCTTAGCACGAGTGTTTCCCTCAGGACTTGGTGTTTATTTTGATTAGCTTCTTTGCCCTGTCCTCTGTGAACTTCAAAGTGTGTCCGCCGGATTGGTCTCACTTTCTGGAGATATAGACTTGAGTGGCAGTTTCTTCGTCCACGATTTGCTGGTGATAGCCCTTCACTAGGCACTGACTGTGGAAGCACTGAAATTCAAGCTCGCGAAGCGCTTTTTCAGCTTTTCTATACCTCCCCGGGGTAAACAATCCTTGCCATCAGACAGCTGGAAGTAGACAGAAACTGTATTCTCCATCCCTCTGAAATGCGAACATCCTGACCTATTAACGCGGAGGTTGCAGTGTTTTCTTGCGCTGACGGAAGTGTTCGTCGGCGGCAGCTCCGTCAAAAAGACTCAAACGAACCGATCACAACTTCTGTGATGGTTTGTGCTGCCATGTCGTCGGATGCAATTGTCAATGGTTATTTTCAGATGGTGAAACAGTGGTTCCATGCCGTGTGACACAGGCAGAACACGGAAAAAATCAAGTGAGAACATAAGCGCCAATTTTAGTAGTAGTAGTAGTAGTAGTAGAATTTATTATTTTGATAGGGAAGGTTTTAACTTGGCGGACCAAGTAGGGCTGAGTCGGGTAGCATTTTCTTCGGGTATCGGGTTCGGGTAGTTTTCCACGGGTAGCACGGGTACCCGATCGGGTAATGTTCCCATCGTAATACATGTACCACAATGCACACCTTCCCTTACACACTGGGTAGACCATGGACCACAACCCTACTACAACCGTCACTGTTCGCTCTTCTATAAAACATATTTTTAGTTTTGACATAGTTTGACATCCATGTGTACATGATTGTACAACATTGTTTTGGAGTTTTGCCTTCTACTCTAGAGAGGCTTTTCTCTCTCTGGACCATGGCATGGTATACATTGCAAGATTGCCTCATTCCGCCACGGGCGCCGCGATGTCTCCATGACCGGCCGCCGCATGTTTTACCTGACAATTGTCCAGAGTACCTTGGACTATGCTAGCACATGTTATGTTCACTGCTTGTCTGCTAAACTCAGAGACAAACTTGAGTCAACCAGCAATAGGTGCCTAAGGCGAGTGTTTGGCCATGATCAGTATACTTCTATCGATTTCATTCTCACCAAATATAACCTGTATACTTTCTCTCGCCGTGTAAACTTGAAGCTGTTTGTATTTGTTTTTAGGTGTCTATCTCGTTGCACTAGTCCTCTTTTAAGCACGATATTTACCCCCCGCTCTGCATCATGCCGCACAAATGCTGCTACCCGCGGTCAAGCTTCAGCCGCTCTGAACCTACCCAGAGCTACGTCTCGTTACGGCCTGAATGCTATTTCATTTTTGGCAGCAGACAGATGGAACATGCTTCCACCTGAATGTCGTCAAGCTAAGCCCGTTTCTGCATTTGTCACAAGCACCAAGTCATTCCTAGGTTTCCCAGTGTTGGGAGTTCCCTAGTAAAATAATAAATTCTACTACTACCATACATGCGGAGTACTAATCGAATTTGTACACGTACGTGCACTGTACATGTCATCTGCGACTTCGGGTTTTCGGGTATGTACTATTCTGTACCCGTCTACCCGAGGGCCTCACGGGTAGCACGGGTACCCGACTACCTGGGCACACCACTAGTTTCAAGCACAACCTAATGGTCTGTGGTTGCTTTGCGAGCCAGGCGTAAGGTTCGCTGTGCTGTGTGGCATGCGAGAAGGTGCATGCAGTACACTAGCATACTGCCGCAGCGCTTGCACAGGAAATACCTTTGTTTCTGCTTTTGAGGTTGTCAACGCCACCGTTGCTTCCCCCAGAACAGATCACAAAGTACAATCATACATGTATATAATGCAGATTGAGTATATAATAGTATATACGTAGAGCAGTAAGTGAAACCAGAATTTCTTCGTATTGGTCGAGAAGACTGCGACTGAGGTTTAGACCGACAGGAGAATGAGGTTTCTCCAGGTCGTCACGCTGCTAGGAGTAGGAGTACTTCTTGGAGCCGCCCTCCCAACCAAAGCCATTCCGGCACCGAAATGGGATGGGAAGGATCACTCGGAAATTCTCAAAGACCTGGTGCTGAACTACAAGTACAACGATGACGCTCGTGAACCACGAGAAAGTACCGGTAGGTAATATGTTGGAGCGATACGTGTTCTTCCTGACTCCATGCGTCCCGTATATCTACCCTCGTTAGTAGACAACCCCGAGAGTTTCAACAGAAATGCTGTTTCCTCATTATGACTTTCCCCAGGCAAGACAACCCCTTTAGGCCGCGGTCACACATGAAAGTTAGTTTGAACCGCTTTTGCGGAGGCGAAAAGCGTAACTACCGCAGCAGCTTTTGCGGAACACACGATGCAGCGGTCAGCCACACATACATAATAATGTACATGATCGATTGTACTGTGTTCCTCAACGCTCCGCTTTGGCGGAGGGAATGCAAATGCAGCACGTAGACCTACACGTCCTATGACATTCTAGATGTTTTTGTCCGAGTTGAAGCGACCTTTGATTGATTGATTGATTGATTTTATTTTACTTCGCAAGTTCAAACGGGTTCCTGGCCCAGTTATATGAGAGCGAAGGATAGAATTTGCCAAAATCCTAATGAGCAACAGCATAGGCAATATTATCATAGAAGTGGAGTACTATGCGAGCGAGAATACTGAGAAGAAAGGAACATGTCAAAACCTGACGAAACACAACCTATTTCAGGCATACATAAGGAAGGCAGGCTAGCTTAAAATCTTAAAACTTTGCTTGTAGAGCTATCGTGGATCGCTGAAAGGCTGCTGAATGTCTCCTGTCAAGTACACTCGTGGATTTGGGGCACATTCGCTGCGCCCCAGTACGGGTGCACTTGAATATGATTAGTTTACATCGATATCAAATTCAAACAGTTGTATAGAACGGTGTCTTTGCCTCCTCCATGATCCATCATCGACCCCAGCGTGGATTCCTGTAGTTGCAGTGAGCATGGTGAGGGTGTGGCAGAGTACTCTACTACTCCCTGGTTGTAGTCCTAGTGTTGCGTACTCTGCATGGTGGACGCATTGCTTGGAGAGAGAAACGTCGTCCCTTCTCGTCCGCGATCAGGGCCAAGGAGTTGGGAGACAGATTCCCTCACCAACTCTACACTCATAACGATGAAGTTTCGTTCGCGAGATTTCCGGGACGAAAAGTATATTTGCAAACAGGAACAATATGAAAAAACGGCCACCAAACAACACCAGAACTCCGTGCCAGAAGTAGCACACCAAAACCATCACCATGCATGATTCGCCAAAGCGGGACCACGGAAGCGGATGTTCCGCTCGCCTTTTTTGGCATAGCGAAATCCAAACTTTTCGCGGAGCCGCCCAAAAAGTGCATGTGTGACCAAGGACTTCGGCCTATAACTACTGTATAACTTACACATTAATTGTACATACTTACTTATAAGACTTACAGCAGATCCTATGAACATGAAGCATCGATTGAGCTACATAATAATTATTATAATTACATCAGTACAGTCATCATGGTCCTGTAGCTAGAACCAAAACAAAAACGCAGGAAAATCGTGTTTTATAACTTTATGCCAAGGCGCTGGCAGCGGACATGTAGCCATCCGAGAAAATTCGTAGTCCATGGCCATTTGCTTTGCCTGGTAGTGAGGTGTTGTATAACTATAAGTATCTAATATTGACTGAGTACGAAGTCAATGTAGGAAATAAAAGCCGAGTAAAAGACCGAGGCGAAGCCGAGCATCTTTTACGAGGTCTTTTATTTCCTATACTGACCAAGTACGAAGTCAATATTTGATTTATCACGACTAGCCAAAGCCTGTGTTCAATCGCTAAAAAGGAGTCAAATAATTATAAGTGGTCAATATAGCCCTAAGGAGTGAAATATGCAGGAATATTTGACTGCTTAGGTATGGCCAAAATCTATGGGAGTCAATACTAAGGGAGTGATAAGCAGAAATATTGGTCGGGAATGTATTCTAGTCTTTTTCGTTCAACGAGTTTTGTACTAAAAATCGATGCCGGTCTACTTGCAACGTAACCTCGATCTGTCCAGCTTTCCAACACGATTTATGGTCCATGGACAAATTTTTCAACCGGACGAACTCGCCTTGGACGCTTGTAATGGATGTCGCACTAATGACGGTAGACCTGCACAGTACAACTGTGGACTTATGGTACCCGTGTACGACATAGTGTATGTAACAAAGAGTTTTGTACCTCGAGTATTGTGGTCGCCAGCGGAGCGACACTGCTCCGCAGCATACGACTGCGACACGATTCTGCTACGACGGAGAGCAGGACTGTCGGACGTCGACAGTACCCTGGGACTAGCCACTGGAGTGTTGTTGTTGTTGTTGTTGTTGTTGTTGTTGTTGTTGTTGTTGTTGTTGTATTCTTTTATTTCAACTCGCTCAGGGCACTGGCAATACTGCCTTCTCACCGAAGAGAGGATTCTCCGATTCCTACCAAAAACGAGTGTTGCCCTTTCCTGTTTGAGAATTCCCGTCGGAACGTTCCTGAAAATCACTTCACACCTCTTGAGAAAAGAGTGTATGTACTGCATGGCTGCATCAAGTGTGCCTGTGAAATCGTAGAACGTTGTGGACAGGACAGCAGTTTGCTAAGACACCGACGTAGCAAGAAAAAACTTAGTCAAACCGATATATCGACAAAAGCAGAAAGCAGAAGCGACAGTCACAATGGTAGAAGTGGACACGTTCTTCGGAAGTATCTTGTCAGTAAAATGGTGAGTATGTCCGTCGAAAGCGCTTGTTGAATCAGGGAATGGCAGTGACACTTCATGGAGTCAAGCCACAACATACAGTAGGTAATTGTCTCCTCCAGTGATCACCTGCTGATCTGCTTGAATATACCTTTAAGTGTACATATATCCTCCTTCCTAAAAACCTTTTGTAACTCCATTCTCACATAAGCTTCCATGCAAGTCGGCTTGTAGCCCGTGCGTACTTAAAATATGCATTGTAATTTCAAATTCGGACTTCGCGGAGAATTTCAAAGTATTAGGAACTTGGGCCACCTGCATCATGCTGCTCTTTTCTCTCCGAAATTAAATTTTTCTTGCAAGCCAGATATGATTAAGGTACCTGATTCGAGTCCCAGTGGTGCGACTGATGATTTCTTTCTTTCATTCGTATTCCTGAAGTGTTGAGCTTGGGAGAGAAAAGAGCTGTACGAGCCAGGTTTTCTAATTTCCTACTACAGATTGAAAACATAAAATATTTTAAAATGTACAAGTAGTATGTGCTTTGCTAGGCACCATTGCTAGCAAGAGTACATAACCCCCAAGAGTGTAGAACTCCAGCTATGCAGCCTCCAAAGTTGGTGTGACGTGCCTGTTCAGTGCAATGCCATTCACTGTGTTGCCTGATTGCTGCACAGAATGCAGCGGAAATGCTAGCTACACTGGCCAGTGTAACTTGGACTGTCAGTGTGTGGATGGCAAGTGGAAATGCTGCCGGCTGAGGAAGAGTGTCAAGAACTTATCTCAGGTAGCGTGAGAATGGCCCTTTTTTGTTCCCACACCTTTTCCCTTTTGACATTTCTGCTCTTTCTGCAATGGCATGGATGTGTGAACAACCTGATCTGACCCTGAGTTCAAGCTCTCTCCCTTTCTTTGTTGTCTCTATTGGGCTCTGCATTTGCTGCCAATCTAGAATTGGACATATCCATCGTTGATGTAAACTTTGGGTGACATAATAGGTTGAACTTGACTTACACGTTGACGGAGTCATCTTCGATAGTGAATGTTAGAGTGAGAATGCAACCAGTTATCTATAAACCAGTAAAAAAGAGTAAATTATCGTGTCCGTTCCCGAAGGGAACTCACGACGGCCGCTAACACCTGGTAAACCCTAGCGGCAGATGCAGCGCCTAACGGTGGGGGTGAGTGGGTAAGTCTTACAACCACTGGCACAATTGCCAAGAACGACCCCATTAGCTGCATCCATGTACCTCTTTTGCCTGGCCACAAGTTCCCAGTTGACTGTGGGTAGCAGCACGGCTGGAAAAACCGCTCCCAGGCAGGACTTGAACCAGGTACCTCACGTATCTCAATCATGGACTTTGACCAACCCACTGTGCCTGCCTGGTCTATAAGCCAGTAGTGCCCATCAAATTGTTTTGATATGTGCTACTCTTTGAGACATGCCCTGCTCTACTTGAGAGCCAAACTCAACCTAATATTACTGTTGAAGACATTATCATTATTGGAGTTAGCCATGGTGGATAATGCTGGATGGTGGATAATGCTCCCGAAATTGGCAAATTCTGCTCAAAAAGCAGTGAAATGACAGTTCTGCTCTTCTTCAATATCTACAATTTAGTACGTTTCTGGTATGTCTGGTATATTATACAAAACACGCATGAACATACCAGAAAAGTACCAAATTCTGTTGGTTTTCTACTGGCAATACCCGCCAGCAGCTTAATTGAAGGTGTATACAACATTGTGGAAAGTGAGGTATAAAAGCACTGCCGAGCTCATGATCATGTATGTTGTACATTGCCACAACTACAAACATGCTCCTGTGTTTACTTTCATGGATTATATGAATGCTTTCCGACTTGCTATTCAGGAGGAGAGAGATCGATTTACACGTACATTCTTGACAGCTACCAGGAATGAAATTTACCAGCCAGCTATGCGTTCCATACAATGGTCGCATGCCGTGTTCGTCTGCGGAAAGGTACCCAAGTCATTGTATACACAAAGCGATACCATAGGCTATCACAACTTGCTTTTGTTTGCTATGGAGAACCTGCTACGCCTGATTGACTGCCGGGTTACTATTCGCTACTGGGATGTTTCACTGGACTATGGCAAGGTGAGCATCTCTGCTGCACTGTTGAGCTTCCGATGTAAAACAAATAATAATAATAATAATTTGAAACTCGGATGTTGAGCCATAAATAAATGTAGAAGAGAAAAGGACATATGGATACGAGCTTTGCTGCTTCGAATTGTAGTTAGACCACTTTGTCAAATATCGTACTGGTCTCGTCATCGTCCAGTAACAATCGACATTCTTTGTTCCGTTGGGACTGTAGCTTTTGCTCGTTTTCGCTGCGCTTGCCTTCCCCTCTTTGGTCTTTCCATAACCTTGAACCTTCCAAGTTGGAAGGCTGTCGGTTAGCGCTACGGAGATGTGTTGAAGCTAGGTGTCAGGACGTCGAATGTTTCAGTACTCTGTCAGTTTTGTGCCTAGTTATTGCACTTTCTGACTGTATATAGTATCATGTTACAGTGATGGAGAGTTACTCTTAACTCGTATCCATATGTCCTTTTCTCTTCTACAATAATAATAATAATAATAATAATAATAATAATCTCCTATCCGTCACTCCTAAATCAGTACTTCAAAAAAAGTAGTTGCTATGCTGAACAACCTGTCAGTTACACTTGTCAAATGTAGAGCCTGAGGTACTGTCGTTGTAGACTACTGTACATAGGGATGGGGTACCCCGGGTCTACGAGAAGGCACAAACTCACTACTGCATAAGTAGCATGATACTAGCATCTTCCCAAAAGTCAACTCGTAATCCGTACCCAATGCCACTTGCAAAAATGTAGCCCACAAATACACAGAACTGATGAGGTTTAAAGGGGAAGTGCATCGATTTTTCAAGTAGGGTCCAGAAGAAAGACAATTTGATATCGGTTCGAATGGCATATCTCTCGCTTCCATACGATAAGCCAAACTTGCCAAATCGCCAATTGTATGCTCACGTTGCCATAGCGACCAGCGGAGTGATGACGTACGAAAGGCTTAGCTCCTCCACCGAGAAGGTCGATCACTGCATAAATTGGTCATTTTCAATTGTCTTATTGTATTCACGATGTGAAAGAAGTGCTGTGTTCAATGCTGTTAGTGCCATGAACTATTTGTCGCCCTTCTCATGCATTTCCCTAGGCTGACTGTGCCTTGGAAATGGTTTCCTCCAGGGCAAGATGCTTGGAATTCGCCGTCTCTCCTGAGACATTTTCAGCAAACTTTCAAACCTACGACATTATTTCATTCGTCAATCTCCACCACCCGTCGTCTCACCTGGCTTCAGAAGATGTTACGAGAGATAGGAGAGTCGCCAGGAAGCATCACATTCATCTTCAGGAAGTGGAAAGAGCAAACGGCATGGTCTTTGGTTGGGGGAAATGCTGAACGTCTGATTTGTCCCAACCAAGATTTCAGCATTTTGTTCGTCACTATTTTCGCTTGTCTGCTGGTGTCTCCGCGCTCCAGCTTTCTCCTATCGGTGTCACGTCCCAGTACACAACCGAGAGGACTACTAACAAACAGTTCACTGCACTTACAGCATTGAACACAGCCCTTCTTTCACTTCGTGAATACAATAAACCAATTGAAAATGACCAAATTCTGCAGTGATCGACCTTCTCTGTGGTGGAGCTAAGCCTTTCGTACGTCATCACTGCGCTGGTCGCTATGGCAACGTGAGTATACAATTGGCGATTTGGCAAGTTTGGCTTATCGTATGGAAGAGAGAGATATGCCATTCGAACCGATATCAAATTGTCTTTCTTCTGGACCATACTCGAAAAATCGATGCACTTCCCCTTTAACTGATGTGGGAGGGTATGCCGGAAAAACACAAAAGTGACCCTAAGAATGTGTGGGAGAGGGCAAAAAGAGGAAAGTTTCGAGATGAACTTGTGACATGCAACATAATATACTAGGTGTCTATCATTGAGCCAGCCCCCACCACAAGCAAGAAAGGATTTTCTCAGGGTTTCGAGACACAAATACAAGGCCTGTGTTGTGTTATGCAGTTGGAACTACTAGTAGGTATTTTGGCAACTACTCGTCGAGCAGGCTAGATAATTATACTTTTACAAGTATCAAACACGGACGCGGGGTCCATCCGGAACCAGGACACATATTTTTCGATTCTCCAAAGAGTTTGAAGATTTGAGCCAGGGACTATAGAAACCGCCCTACGACGTTTGATATCAAAATCAAGTAATTATTAGTTATGACGTTTCAAAGTCACGCGACTCAAAGTTACGCGAAGCGCAGAACTCGTCACTTATGTTTTGGCAAGACTCGAGTCAAGAGCTGTCCTCTTGTTAGGTGTTCGGGGAAGGATTCCGAGCTCGATCGATTGTCGAGTAACTCATGAGGCTCCACTTACTGTGATTGATTATGGCTACAACATCTAGTAGACGACGCAGCTCGATTCTGTGTGGAGCCGACTAGTCCCTGATGCGAAGGCGCTTGAATCGGCGACGAGAATTTTTACGGATTCAGCGCTGGCACTCGCGAGTCGTCCGCGAGCGATTCCGACACCGATGCTGACAGCGACGGCGATGATATGCCACCTAAGAAGAAGACGTATGGAGTCACAGCAAGCTCGAGTGCTGCTAGTGTTGTGTCGAAAACGCCAAGCCCCGACAGCTCGGAAATTTCAAACGCGGAGAGTGACACCGACTACTCGGAATCGGATGACGAACCAGATACCCCCGCACCTGAGCCACCGACGACGGAGCAGGTGAAGCGTGGTCTCCTCGGACATACGCGATGGGATTGAGAGAGGCTGTGGATGCAAGTCGAAGAATCATTGGAAAGTCATCCCAGAGCAGCAGCTCGAGGACTACATAATTGAAGTCTCTAACTGCGAGAATCGAAAAAGCGCTTCAAGCAGTTTGTTCTGGGCGCACTGACTGGAAGCATGCGAAAGTCGATGACTGGCGGTGGTGATCGACCTTTCTATTTCCGCTATCATGTACGTGGTTACGAGTTGTGCAAAGACGTGTTCATGGCAGTTCATGCTGTTGGAAGTCATGTAATGAAGCGCCTTCAAAAAAGGCAAACAAAGGAGTCGTTCAACTGGCACAACATGGCTTGACTGGGAGAACACCAGAGCACTTGGCCATTTCAGCAGACATAGAGCAGGATGTAGTGCAGTTTATTTAGTCATAATTATGCTAACATGTACGGTCTACCTCAACCTGCAGCGGAGCGAGGTCGTGCTGAGGACCCTCCAGTATACTTACCAGCATCCGAGAACAAGAAGTCTGCATACAACATCTACACCAAGACCGTCACACAGTATTCACCTGTTCATTACAGGTCATTTTGCCACATTTTGGAGGAGACAGGCAGCACACATCAAAGTGATGAAGCCAAGGACAGACGTATGCGCACTGTGTGACGATCTGTGGTACAAAATTCGTGTCGCCCGTACAGAAGAAGAGACGGTATGTAGTGTCCAGGCCCTGCGTTCGCACACATCGCTAGCACAAGAGGAGCGGCAGTACTACCGAGATTTAGTGGACGGCGCGCAGGCATCACTGGATGAAGCTGAGGGCATAGTTCACTATACATTTGAACTGCCTAACTAGCAAGATTGAAGACATACAAAGAACATTACATACTGTGTACATAAATTTGCTCTATATCGCTCAATTGATATGCCATTATTAATGGTTAGGCACATTTTACCATCGCAGATCAACTTGAAATTTTGTTTGAGCACATTACCATACTGTTGAATTCGAAACAGGACGACTGACGACATATCCAGACATTACAACGGGAACAGGTAGGTTGGGGGAACGACATTTATTATAGACGACGAGACAAGAGACCAAGACGAACGAAACGACTACATTGAAGATTGAGAAAAGAGAGAGTGAGATCAAGTCTGAACGGCAAGATATAGGGCCTGGGTAGCTATGGCAAATATGGACGCGCAAGTAGCTACCCAGGCCTACGGAACAAAAGGAGACAAAAGGTGAGTACGCAAGTGCATGCAGGCCAGCTAGAAAAGGTACGGGAGTGGGTACCTAACATACCACCCCTCCATGAAAAAAATCCCGCGTCCTCGCGGAGAGAAAAAAAGAGAGAAAAAGATTTAAAAAAATGACTGACGGAGAAAAAAAACACACACACATACTGCACGCGCGCACGGATCTCACGAAAGTGTGTACTAAATGCATTACAGATTATTCCTGTACTACTTATAGTGTGTAATAACTATTGGAGTTTGACGAGGAACATGAATTACTAGTATTTTGCACGGCTAATACAGCCTAGTTACACTTTTGCTAAACATCCAAAAATTAGAGCGTGGCTCACCATGATCGGACCCCTAACTTGTTAATGTTTTACGAACACACGCGCGCACACACACTACAAAAAAATTCACGAAAAAAATTTGACGAAGAAGGAACGCATACAATAAAAAGAAAGAGAGAAAGGTAGCTGACCTGCATGGCTTGAACGAGACTAGACGAGGTTGGCGTAGGAGAGACGAGGTTGATAGAGACGAGACGAGTTTGGCGTAGGATAGACGAGACTGACATGGGTGAGACGAGGTTGACATAGACGAGACGAATGGCGGTTGAGGACGGCTGGGCATGGGATGATCTCAGGGTCGTGGTATGGTATGGTATGGTATTGATTTATTTGAATTCGGTATCTCAACAGTACATTGTACAACTTGGGAAGATCCGAATGACATACATGTAGATACATAAACATAAAAGTGGAGTAGGTGCTACAGCGGATCATTTTATCGCAGGTTGTGGGACTAAACTAATACCAGTATGCAAGTACACAAGTGGGTCGATCAATAATCGGGCGCCAATGTTGAATTCGAAACAGGACGACTGACGACATATCCAGACATTACAACGGGAACAGGTAGGTTGGGGGAACGACATTTATTATAGACGACGAGACAAGAGACCAAGACGAACGAAACGACTACATTGAAGATCGAGAAAAGAGAGAGTGAGATCAAGTCTGAACGGCAAGATAAAGGGCCTGGGTAGCTATGGCAAATATGGACGCGCAAGTAGCTACCCAGCTGCCTACGGAACAAAAGGAGACAAAAGGTGAGTACGCAAGTGCATGCAGGCCAGCTAGAAAAGGTACGGGAGTGGGTACCTAACAATACCATACCCACATTTTGAGAGAAAAAAATATTTTTCGCCAAAAAGTGCCATAGGGTGGTTTCTGTAGTCCCTTAGTCCCATTTTTATTGGTTCCTATAGTCCATTATGGAGCGGAGAGTAGAAATTTCCCAAGCTCGAAGCGAAATATTCCCTTGAACTTCCGACATATCGCAAATTGTACAAAATATGATGTTCGCTGAACAATCGCTGAAACCATATTGAGCAAGGAAAGTCTTGACTCTCTTGTGACTTCTGCGGCCGCAGTAGGCACCTTCGGCAACTAGCTTGTGTTGTAGCAGCACCAGGTGCTGGAAGCTTTAGAAATCCAATCAATAGCAAAGCTAAAGGAAAAAGGACCAAGAATCTACAAGTTACGCTATACTGTCCACTAGTACCACCAGTTACTAAACAATCAGCTGATGCGATAACATTGCATGGCACTGACCGACGGTACGGACAGTACTGTAGCTTCTGGTCCTTTTTTCTTTACTAATTTACCCTTGGCTCTCCATCCGAGTCCAGTATCAAAGCTCCCTGGCTTTGGCAAATGAGGTAACGAGATGTTACCATGCGTCAGTGGAAATGATGACTCACAAGGTCGGTATCGACCTATCTAAAGAATAGGAGATGCTTGGATGCCTTCTAATTGGCGATGCATGCAGCCAGGCTTGTTGGAATTCCAAATGATAATTCCTGCTACTGAAGTACCTACATCATTTTATGTTATTACAGGGTGCGACAGAGCTCCCGGCCGTTGAAGAAAATGTTGATATCTCCTCCACCACTACACTGCGCTCTCAACGTCAACGGAAGTGTCCTAGCAGTGGTGATGGCTGTGTGCAGGAGGGTCTAGGCGGCTGAGACCGGAATGTAGTGGTGGAGGTGATATCAACATTTTCTACATTTTATGGGCAAAAAATGGCCCGGGGGCACCGTCGCGTCCTTCACTTGACGGTGTATGTTGAATACAATTTATCGAGGTTATCCACCGCATCCCGGTTTGTACTTTTGTAGTGCAAGATGATTTCAGGGCTCTGCTGTGTGTGTTCCTTAAACAACGATTTTCAGAATGAATTGATGAGAGCTAAGCTATGGGCTATCAAAAATATACCATATATTATACATTTCTTCGATGTTGTTTTCTGGGATCCAAACGGACCCCACACATTATTTCCGAAATAAAATTGAAACCAAACATGTAACTCTAACCCAATTGAGAAGACGTAGCGACGACCCGGCCATTATGGAATCCAATACACCACACCACATTGCGCTCTTGGCCGATCCAAACTCTGCAATCACATCACCATCATCACAGCGAGGACAATTCCGGTATATAGATTGATATTGACAATGACCCTCCAGACAGCTGTTTCGCTCCTCCTGAGCTCATCCTTGGAGGCATATGACTTTGAATGATAAAATAATAAGAATAGACTGATTTTTATAGGGGTAAATTGGGGCAATTGCGCTCATTATGCATAGAAACGTGGCATACCCTAAGTGGCAAAAATGACAAAAGTGATAACAGGGCCAGGTGACAACCACATGCGCTCATGGCTGGGACAGGAACATGTAGCACGTGTGAAAAGGGGGGCGCAAAAAACTGCAGTCAGTCTAACACCAGAAAAGTTAGTTATTCCATGTCCCACAAAAACAAAGATACTGCGGCTGACTGTACTTATGCCATAGTGACGTGTGGGGGGAACAAACGAAGAAGCGAACTGGCCGACGCGGCAGACCAAGAGGCCCCTGAGGCAATCACTTTCCTGCCAGCCCGTCGCACACAGCCACACTACGCCGCCATATCCCCTGACCTTGTTATCACTTTTGTCATTTTTGTCACTTAGGGTATGCCACGTTTCTATGCAGAATGAGCGCAATTGCGCCAATTTAGCCCTATAAAAATCAGTCTATTCTTACTATTCTTTCATTCAACATCATATGCCTCCACTGATGAGCTCAGGAGGAGAGAAACAGCTGTCTGGAGGATCCTTATCTATCAATCTATATACCGGAATTGTCCTCGCTGTGGTGATGGTGATGTGAGTGCAGAGTTTGGATCGGCCAAGAGCGCAATGTGGTGGTGTGGTGTATTGGATTCCATAATTCTAAACCGGACAATTGTATTACCTCTGATATCCACTTGTTGAGGAATACCTGGAATTTCAGGGAGATACAAGGAAGTATAATAATACCGAAACCTATACCCCTGGGGTCTATGTGGACAGCAAAACTTGGGATGAGGGTCAAATATATTATTCACACTACTTCTTGTTCCTGCAGTGTGATTCCGTTGCCTAGTGCTACTCGCTGTAAAACTAAACTTTAAAACATGCGTGCATGTAGCCGTACTCCGGTTTCTCATGTCCATCGCAAACCATTTGTCAAGGTGCACTGCAACCATTTCATAGCATGGACAACCCTATACCAGCACACACGCCAGTCGTCTCTTTGCTGCAAATTTTCTTATTTTAATCTCAATCAATCAAGTTTTCGGCCAGGTGCCATTGTCATAAACCAGGCGACGTACTGGTAGTCTTTTTGGTCTGTGCATTTATTTGTTCTTGTTCAGACGTACTTAGAGCAAGTACCTGAAGGTTTTGGTGGCACAGGAGTGCCCCCAGATTACTGTGTAGTTGATGGACCATACAGAAAAGGTAATTGAGCTTCCAACATTACTTACCACTCTGGTTTAAAATGCCCTATCTTCCAAGCTGCTATCTAAATGCATGGTAGGATCGTTGAAGACGGTTTCTTTAGGCAACAATCGGACAACCTGTTGAGACCAGTGCACGTGCCCTGGGAAGTGATGATTCTCTCCCTGTCATCGTCTTTGTTTCCCTAGCCCCAGTCAGACAAGTGATCCCAAAGAAGCATAGTGAAACATGCTTTGTGTGCCTTTTGCAAGCAGGTATTATTGTCTTTTTGTATCATGAACTAGAAAATACACTGTTCACTGACAGGACTAACCTGTCATATCGTACTGATGAATTTGTTATTTTACAAAGGCCATCGAGATGTACTTGTTCGAATTTCGCGTGTCACGACAACTTATTCTGTGCTGGCATATTATGAAGAATTGATACTTGTATGTCTTGTAATGATGATCCGAGATCTCCAGCACTAGCGTCCATTAAGTTCATAATGGCTTCTCTCTGTCGTTCTTCACAGGGGAATACACCATACTAAAGTTCAGTTACAATGGCGTGGAGTTGCCCTACACGTCATGCTTAACACGGAATATGTCCTCCACAATGAAGCCTACATCGTACCTAGAGTTCAATACAATGTTGACTGTGCCTCCAGACAGCTCTATGATGTTTGAGCTAGGTAAACTGCGCTTTGAGATTTTATAATTTTCAAAGGGGAACGTGAGCTGGGTTTAAACCATTGTGAGAGAGGAATCCTTTTCAAAGCAAAGAAAGGATGCACTACCACCTTTGGTACCGACCAACTTGGTGTCGTATTGCTGGAATGCTAGAATTTGTGTTATTATAAATTTCAAATTTGTAATAATTATACTAGTAGTATTCGAACAAACGGCGAGGAGACAATAATTTGATAACCGCAATCAGTAATACAAGCTGGATCGACATTTGTGTACACTTTATTCATGTAATGTAAAACTGTGGAGACAATGTGCAATAAAACGATAAAAATGTGAAAAAATGGTGTAGAGAAAATGAGGATTCAAACAAGTTTTCTTACAACACTCATCAGGAATCTTCGTTGTACTAAAGGACGATGAAAACAAAATTGAACTATTATAGAAAATCTTAGTTAGAGAAATAACACTAAGAACAACAGCAGTGAAATTTACAAGTGTGAATTTTATCAATGAAAGCGAGAGCAATAACGAATGCGTGTACTAACACTAAACTTGCAACTGAAAAATGAACAGAAGAGAAAGGGACAAAGTGATAACAAATAACAGCAGTACATTACACCTAGAAAATTAACGGCCAAGCTTGGCCGCATCAAACATGACACTTTACTTAAACAATTTCAACCCAATTATACTATCCTTCTGTACACACAAATTAGGCTTATACAGACGCTGACAGATGGCTTCCAAAACTTTTAACTGTAGTCCATAACCATGACGACCACGGCACAATACAGTGAAAGAAGAGTCGGAATACGAATTGCAACAATCAGGACTAGCCAACAGATGATTGTACACTGAAGACTTGCTACCACGAAACCTACGCACAACACTAACATTCTCACGGGCACTCTCACGATCACTACAATCGTCGCTCTCCGACTCATTGCTCCCTTCACCGTCCGTCCCATCATCCGTTTCCTCTCCGCTCACTCTGTTATCCCGCCTGACTTGGTCCATTGACCGGGACTCGGCCGTCACCCTGCTGTCACGTCCCTCCTTGCGCCCTTGTCCGTTGAGTGCGTAGCTTCTGTTGTAGTTGGCTGTTGATCGTCTTGGTTCCGGTGAGAATGTTAGTGTTGTGCGTAGGTTTCGTGGTAGCAAGTCTTCAGTGTACAATCATCTGTTGGCTAGTCCTGATTGTAAAGTGTACACAAATGTCGATCCAGCTTGTAATACTAGTAGTATTCTCTTTTAATTGTCCGCAAACTCCAACGCAGCCACTTACAGATTTAAACTTCACTTCTCAACTCCAAAAACGGTCTCAAAAGTCTAAAGAACGGTCGTCATTACCGTGATGATGGGCCAGGCCCGAAAATTTGGTGTAATGTTAATTTTAATTTTGATTTTAATCGCAGTGAAGAGACCGTTTTGGAGTTGAGAAGTGAGGTTTAAAAGTAGTACTCTCTGTAAATCATTCTTGATTGAAAGGCCAGTCCAGTCCCTTTCCATGCCAGTGCCAGCCGGAGGTGATGGATGGGGAATTCCCCAGCGCTTAAACGTAAATTGAGGTTGAATATCCGTGTTCCAGGTACTTGAGCTGGATTGTTTTCAATACTAGCTAGTAGTTGAGAAGTAGCTTTGAGGCGTCTTGCAGATTCATCCATAGAGAGTAGTTGGGTAGACGCACCCATTCCCAAAGCACTGCAAACCGAGCCAATTATTTTACCGATGAAAGTAAAGTGAGGGAACTCGTACCAGGAGAACAATGGAACAATATTTGTTATGATTTGAACGTCGTTTTCATGTGATAATCATCAGAGATCGTCATCATATTGAGAGTTGGACAACAAAGGAAAGATATTTATGGTACCATAAAATGAACAATATTATAGATCTAAATACGAAATAGTGGTTGCGACTTCGGCGATGATTTGTAAGAAAAGGTTTGCTCCCCACACTGGAGCTCGCGCTATTCCGCCGACTTGTGCCCAGCGCGGGCTTGCGACTAGTTGGTTTGGAGGTGACAGCGTTGTGAATGACTGGGGATCCTCGACGTCTGTTCTCATCGTTCAGGTGCAACACCGACTCGCGCTGCTATCTGGTGTTCACGAGGTGTTTGTCGCGCTGGAAACAGAGCGTCTCTGTAAGTTTGTATCCGTGGTGATGTTTGTGCCTGGTGAGGACTATATAAGTGGTGCTCTTCAGGCACAATCTTTCCCAGCCTACTCAAGCTCAACTGATGATGGGTGAATTCCCCGAAACACTGTGTATTGAGCAGGGAGTGGTGCTTTCTTGCAGGTTTTCTGAGTCGAAGGTTCGATGGACTTCGTGACGGTGTGCTCTGGATGGCAGTCGTGAGTCAGTCAAGTGTCAAGTCAAGTCGGCGGAATAGCGCGAGCTCCAGTGTGGGGAGCAAACCTTTTCTTACAAATATTAGATCTAAAACTAATACAAGAAACGCTAATATTCTAAAGCTAGCACTATTGGAGGCGTGATTACATGAGCAGTGAGCAATGTGAAAGCAATACTTAGTGTATATTGGAGAAATGAGGGTGAGAAAGGTACATGTATGTGAGTGTCCAATAGTGCTACTTGGTAGTTTTAGAATATTAGTGTTTCTTGTATTAGTTTTAGATCTAATACTGTTCACTTTATGGTACCATAAATATCTTTCCTTTGTTGTCCAACTCTCAGTGTGATGACGATCTCTGATGATTATCACATGAAAACGACGTTCAAATCATAAAATATTGTTCCATTGTTTTCGTGGTATGAGTGCGCTCACTTTACTTTCATGGATATTTGGTTTCTTGTCTCTATGCTGACTTTTTAACAATTCTTTTACGTACAACGTTTCAGCAATATTGCCATCGTCAGGTACGATTGATTCATTCATTGTTTCAATCGTACCTGACGATGGCAATATTGCCGAAACGTTGTACTTAAAAGAATCGGTTCGATTTGCAGTGCTGTGGGAATGGGTGTGTCCACCCAACTAGTCTCTAATTAGTTGTTGGATCAGAAAAATATGTTGTCTCTCTTCATTGTTGAATTAACACCGAGTGTGGTGTTCAGTGGCACAAAGCAGACATCACAAACATGTCAGTTTTGGCAGTGGTAGCGGGTTTTCATGCGGTGGTTCGAATGGTATACTTGATCAGAAATGAAAATCACATGTTCATTTCCTTATGTGACAAAAAGCCCATTTTGCAAGAATTGAGGGGATCAGCCGAACCGGCTGCCAAAGCCCTGGATAAAGAGTACCTACTAGTACACGTTTTACATTTTCCTACGTGCTTGGAATTTTTGTACAGGTGTCTACGAGACCTTTGATACCAACTTCCATCTTGGTTTCGGTGGAACATTCCAAGGCGTGATACCAGGCATGGATCCATTATTTTACATGATCCACAATTTCGGGACCAAGGTGTTGGCAAACTACCAGCAGCAAGGACCGGATCACTTCACTGGCGGAGGACGTTGGAATAACAGTGCGCCAGTGGAAAGTATGTTGATGTTGACTTGTGTGTGTATATGTTGTGTGTGTGTGTGTGTGTGTGTGTGTGTGTGTGTGTGTGTGTGTGTGTGTGTATGTGTCTACTTAGTATTTGTGGGTGCGTGTTTGCGTGCGTGCGTGTGCTGATGCACGGATATGAGCAATTAAGGAATGGAAAGGCCTCCGGCTCATCACAAGCAACATTGACATGTTTCCAAGAAGGAGAAGAGTAGAGTTTCTGAAGTACACAACAGTACAGTATCTGTAAACATTATGCAATAAAAAAATAATCAAAATGTTACATTCTACCGTATTTCCCCCGTAAGTTAGTACGTACTAACTATCGAACTTAGCAGCCACATGAGTACTAACTTTCGGGGGTGGTACTATCTTTCGGGGAGTACTTTTTTATCGGGGGTAAATGACACGCAGTGGGAAGCCTGCGCAACTCTAGTGTCCGCGCATATGATGTATATGTTGGACTCAGTAGAGCGTCCAGCCCCTATATGATGTCCAACCCCTATATAGAGTCCATTGGTCCAAAATCCACTGTACAGAGTCCAAACTTGGAATCAACTGTGAGCTCAAAGTTTAGATGGACATCACTCCCTGTATAGAGTCCAGCCAATTGGCTTCACCCCTATATAGAGTCCATTGGTCCAAAATCAACTGTACGGAGTCCAAACTTTGAAATCAACTATAAAGAGTCTTTATGTGGACAACACTCCCTGTATAAAGTCCAGCCAATTAGGCATCCCCTATCCAGAGTTCGAAATTAGACATAGGATCTGCTGTAAGCAGTGAATATTAACCAGACAACGGCCTCTCCCTTTAATCCTTTACATCATTCACTTCTCAAGATAAAAAATAAGTATTGAGGCGCCACTGCAGCCACTTCATTACATGAAAAACCCTACAAACACCATCCTCAAATCAAGTGGTCTCTTCGCTGACGCTGAAAATTACAATAATTATCTCAATCATGTAGTGTTGCCAAAGTATTGTGCACGCACACACACACCCACACAACGCCAAGAAAATACCTAGAAAAAAACCAAGAATTGAAAGAGAATAATGGAGAGCCAAGGATTAATTTTTTTTCTCAAATTATGCGGAATGCGGAAAGTCCGGCTTCCAGCCGAGTCTCACGCGAACCGTGATTTTTTTTCAAATTATTGTGCGCGCGCACACACACACAAACTTATACAACGCCAAGAAAACAACAAGAAAAGAGTAGAGACACAATACACACGCAACTCCAACAGCCATGCAAACGTCCACCTATTTACACGTAAAGTCAAGAGGGATAACAAATAATTATACGAAACGAATGCACACGTGGGCGGATGCACGCACGTTTACATACATGTAGTAGTGTAAGAGAGTAACATAGTGCAGTAGTCAGCATAATACTAGCACATGCTGAGAGTGCAATAGCAAGCTTCACCATTGCTCATGGCCATGCAAATGTTCAGCAGCACTCAGTTCCGCAAGCTTCTGAAGATCAGCACACCTGCAACAAATAGATAGCACAAGGATACGCTTATTACCGTAATGATGCATGGGAGCACACAACTACCAAGTTCTCAACGAATGTGATGCTCAATGAAAATCCATCCCCGCAAAGACCTGTGAACAGGTGACGGTGGGGACAATAATCTATTAGTAATACGAGGAATAAGGTCGTTTGTGCACACTCAAGACGCACAGACACACCACCATACATGTAGTGTACACAGTGTTTCACTTCACTGTAACTAAATTGAAATGAGATGATTTGAACAATCTGTACAGCGTTGCCGTCAGTCAGTCTTCCCCAAGATGGAAATGCAATGATTTGTTGTCACGAGGCAGTTTCACTGACACAATGTCATGTTTGTGACATCAAAATGGTTACTTCATGGAATACGAGTACCGTAAAGTACCGCCAGAGCGCCCCGTCTCGCGAGAGCGCCCCACCTTGATTTCACAGCCAGAGAAAGGAAAATCGTATGGCAGAGTGCAACGAAGTGTGTACGATGTGAGAATTTTAGTACACTAAGGTCACACTTGGCAGGTTTTTGTGTGGAGCTTGTGTCTACTTGAAGGTACGGATTGACTGCAAAACGTGCAATATGTGTACAAGGTTCATGTCGTATGACCTACAGACAGCAGACCACCTCCACAAAACGACCACGAAAGGATGAGTTGGTGGGGCGCTCTGGCGGTACTTTACGGTACATGTATTAGCTTGAGAAGCTTTTTCTTGTCATCGGCATACAAGAAATCCTCCTCCTACTACTACTAGTACACTGGCACTGCGTTTGTGGATCCCATTGTATTTGACATCATACTAGAGCCTAGTAGAGGAAGAGTGTCGTGGAGTTACATAATTATCACAGGGATAAAAATACATTTCTCATGAAATAAAAATAATTGATGATAGCTGACGATCGTATACGATTGATGCAAAGTCCTTGCAGTCCTTGAGGATTATTACGAAGTGGTTGATTACTTTAGGGCATTCATTCAAGCAACATCAAACAAACGCGATACGCTCCTTGAAAATGGAAACAAATTCAAGCATAACGACAGAACAGCAGACCAATCGAAACGAGTAAAAGCTTCCTTACCTCAGTCATCGTCCTGCCATGTAGTTGGACAGCCTTTTGACACGGTGGTACAGGCAGCTCTTGTCCAGTCGAACAGGGTATCCTTGTGGTGTCGAACGAAAGAGAGTGTCAGTGTATCTGACTCGTCAGATTGGAACTGTGCTGAACTTTTCTCGTTCTCCGCTTTCTGCTTTCATCCCTCGCTCTGATGAAACCGTTCAAACGTCTTACTGGCAGCAATGGCCAGCCAAACAGGGGATCTTTGTGGCGTCGAACGAAAGAGAGTGTCAGTGTACCTGACTCGTCAGATTTGAACTGTGCTGAACTTTTCTCGTTCTGCAATTTCTGCTTTCATCCCGCGCACTGATGAAACGTCTTCAGAGAACCACAAGACGCTTTCCAGATTTGATTTTGAACGTCTCCTTATCCTCTTTGGTTACCTCGAGACAGATTACTGTCAGCAACTGCACAGCAGAACTGGCAGCCATGGCTGAAGTGAAGAAAGGAATGCGCTGCCACGAGGCAAGCAAAACTGAAAAGGTGTTTGTTCTCTTTCGGGCACAACACACAGTACAGGACGGCGTGACTGGATAAACTGGACTCCTGGACCGTGAATAGGGGACTTGTAGAAAAAGTGTACTCCTTATAGGGGATTGCGCGGCAGGATGAAGCTGATCAAAACTGAGTACGAGTGGACTCCTGGACTCTGTATAGTGGATTTTGGACCAATGGACTCTATATAGGGTGCTGGACATCATATAGTGCATGGACTCTATACTGAGTCCTACATATATACTGTACGGTGTCTGTACATGTAGGACGGTTACGAACTTACTATCTTTCCGTGCTGCCTTCTCGATACAAACGAATGTACACTGTATATCATGTGCACATTCACATGTCTGAAGGTTTGTGGTTTTTCAATAAAATAAAAAATAAAAAATCTTTCGGGGGAACTGTCTTTCAGGGTGATGACCTCGGCAGTGGAAAGTGTATTTTTATAGGGGGGGGGGGTACTACGAGTCATTGGGGAGAACTAACTTACGGGGAAATACGGTAGTTCTAAGTTAGTTAGTATCGCAACCAAGAGGACAAACTGCTCAGTAACCATTATTTATTATGACGATAATAACGAAAATGGGAGACAGATGTGAAAATGATAATATGTAAAAGAAAAAAAAGTTGAAAACAGTGTTCTTGTTACAATCATCAGTGAACGCACGTAACAATCCTGTTGTGGAGACTTTCCCACACTAGGGACCTCTCGCATTTGCTACGAAACAAATGCGAAACGAAAGTTTGATTCGGCTCGTAATCGTGTCATTGAAAACAGATTTCAGGTTTCGCAAGTCGCCATGCAAATGTGCATGGCAGCTACGAACACGGCCGCGGGCGCCGGTAGCTTGGCGTACGGGTTTTTACATGCACACGTGCATGGATCATGGAATCAAGGGAAAAATGTGTACCTTGCACAACATGTGTACCTATCCAAATATATGTGTACCTGACGGATTCGGAGCGTGCCACGAATGAAGAGGCTTCCATTCGTGAAAACGAGTTCTCCGCAGGGACTCTAACGAATCCTCGAACCCAAGTGACGAATCAGCATTCGTTTCGTATCCGTACGCGTGGTGCGAAAGGTCCCTATTGTCTGGCATTTTCTGCCATCGCATCAATATCCATGCAGCTCAAGTACTGTAATCTTTACAACCCCGGCTAAATTCGTTTTGGTTGCTCGCCACACTCGAGATCCTTCCTTCCCGCCAGCTTGACTTGACACTAGACTGACTCACGACTTCCATCCAGGAATTAAACTTGAGCTCAATGTTGCGAGCAACCAACCTTCCTTTAATTAACGCCAGCGTCATGACCACTGTTCCGTGTCTAGCCATGAAGTCTTCAGAAATATGTACTGTTGTTAATGAAGTTTTAAGTTGTTACCTTGTTCTCATGCAGCTTTACCGTGGTTTCAGAACAGGGAGTTTTTTGACGCTCAAAACTTTCCGAATGATGTGTGCATCCGCTGGGATGCTGTGGCTGATCGAGAGAAGCTGATCGAGATGGGACACTACGCAGGACTGGAAACACCAAGGTTGGACCACATAGCGTTGCCCTATAAGGTTAGCCGTGATCAGATAGCACCTGAATCTGCTGTGCAAACCCAGTACAATGTATTGACATTAGCCATCACAGCTAAAGCAATGTGTGCTCTCTTAACAAAATGTGACTTAAAGGGGAAGTTAAGGCAAAAATTAAAATTTCACCAGTTGTAGTCTTCGGGGTGCTGAGTCGAATGGTCGTGGTCCGAGGAAGCTGAGACGCTCCCTTCCTACTTGAATCCCAATCGAACTCGCGCACTTCCACCAAAACTGGGTGACTGCGCCCTACTAGATGGGGATTTGTATGCAAAATGTCACTAAAAGCGCCATTTCGTTCTTATAAAAGCACGGATGACCGCGATTGGCCCATATGTTGTAGTCTTTTGGACGCTGAGTCGACTGGTTTTGGTCCGAAAAGGCTGCGATGCGGCGTTCCTCCTTTATTCCCAATCGAACATGGTTGAAGAAGTGGTCACGTGCTCCTGCGTACACCAGTCACCTGGTCACCGTGCCTGCAGGGTACAACTTACTAGCCTGTTTGACCTTTTTTGGGTGCAGTCCTGTCACTCGAGTTGAACTCGAGTTGAACCTTGGTGTGAAAGTTGTCACCTGCTGGCGTGGTGACCAGGTGATTTGGGCACCCAGGACCACGTGACCGCTTCTTCAACCATGTTCGATTGGGAATAAAGGAGGAACGCTGCATCGCAGCCTTTTCGGACCAAAACCAGTCGACTCGGCGTCCAAAGGACTACAACATATGGGCCAATCGCGGTCATCCTTGCTTTTATAAGAACGAAATGGCGCTTTTAGTGACATTTTGCATACAAATCCCCATCTAGTAGGGCGCAGTCACCCAGTTTCGGTGGAAGTGCGCGAGTTCGATTGGGATTCAAGTAGGAAGGGAGCGTCTCAGCTTCCTCGGACCACGACCATTCGACTCAGCACCCCGAAGACTACGACTGGTGAAATTTTAATTTTTGCCTTAACTTCCCCTTTAAAGAAAAGTACATGAAAAACCTTACTTAACACACCATCTTTAAAGGGAAACTGAACGCTAAAAACAAGTATGGCTTATCCGAAGGAGAATTGGGCACTGATTCCGATGAGCTATGTCTCGAGCCGATCAGAGAAGGGGAACCGTGTCAAATTTCATAAATAACAACTTCCATATTTGGAAAATGGGCTTGATGACGTGCGTACTGCTTAGCTGTCACCATGCTGTGCATGCTCAGCAGTGTAATTGAATGGAAGAAAACAATTACTTTGATGTTTTGCAGCTCTATTTCGTTCCCTGACGGTAACCAAATCTAGATGTAGGAATCTGTTGAGCAGGAGAGTGACACATGTCTTCCCGAAGGCTGTCCAGGCTGCAGTGGTGATGAAGAAGACACGATCATCACCCCGAGATCGATTGTGGCGAATTGGAAAACTCATGGTGAATTTGCTTCCACGGATTTGTACGGCCTATAATGGAGTACGCCCCTCTCGTCTGGGCAAGTGCGGCACATTGTCACCTCCATCAGCTGGACCTGGTCCAGCATCGAGCCATGAAGGTTATTGGCCCCTCATTGCTCCCCAGCCTGGCAATCCGAAGGCATGTTTACGGGCTGTGCTACCTGTATAAGCTGCAATGCATACCAGGTCCAGCTCTGCTTACCAACATGGTACCTCCCCCAGCAAGAGTTAACGCTGCACCCCGGACGCGCCGGCAACGCCAGTCCCTCGGTGGCCACTCTTTCCAACTCGCAACTCCTCTGCCAGCCTCCAGTCCAGAGTTCATCCGCCGCTCCTTCCCATACTTTGTCCTGGAGAGCTGGAACACACTGCCTGCCCCAATCCTCGCCGAACGCCCAACTCTCAAGAAATTGCCGACATTCAAGACCAAGGCCTACCATCACCTCCGCCAGACCAATTGGCTATGGGCCACTGAAGTCCACCAGCACTTAGAATAACCGGCTGTCTCTATTATTATCATTTTCTGTCTCTCTCTCTCTCTCTCTCTCTCTCTCTCTCTCTCTCTCTCTCTCTCACTCTTCCTCTCCTGGGAAGCTCCTCATGCTCATTCTCCCTTTCTCTGTCCATTTCCCCTTCCTGATGCGTAGACCAACTGTTGAACCCGAGACCACTAGGTCGGGGGAGGTTGACCTACCTCATCGGCACGCATGCCACGCTCCTCTGTGTTGTCAATGTTCGCTTGTCCACTTTTGTCTACCTCCCCTTTTATGTTGCTGGCCAGTGCTTTGTAGTAAAAAATAAATAAATAAATAAAACTCCAAGGCAATGTCGAGGTATGAAGGGTGCTTGTACTGCCTTCCAAAGTGAAGAGGAGATGAACATGGCTTTGCATAGCTGTTGTTCTATGCCAACTTACCTACTCTTGCTGGTACCGTAGTGGCATAATTGCAAATTTCGTGGACGAACAACTCGAGTCACTAGCGGCTAGTGAGCAACACTAACAGGTGAGATTTTTCAATTTTGACAAAAATTGTTTTTGTTTGAGAACTGACAGTGGCAGTCATTTGACTCAGACGGTGTCTCTCTGCTGCTTCTTTCCCTTCATTGGTAGGGTTGTGCTTGAATAGTACAAGTGCTTGAAGTAAAAATAAAATAAATAGAACATGTGGAACATAAATCTAATCAAGCATCAGTACATGTATTGCGAATTCAACTTCAAAGCAGATGAAATCACAATGATCACTAAGTTTATGGAATCAGGAGGATCGCTAGGACACCCTAGGGCCCTGTGTTCAACGAACACATACACACATGCTATATTGCGCACACACATGTACACATGTGCGTGCACTCCCACCCCATCCCACAGACACATGCATGCAGCGCGCACATCCATACACATGTGCGTCTACCCCCCCCCCCCCCCACACACACACACTCCTACCCATACACATGTGTGCGTGTACCCCCCCCCCCCACACACACACGTATGCACAGACATACACGCACGAACACACACACAAGATACGTGTAAGTGTACATGGTCTTCCTGGTGCGGATGCTGGGCCAGCACAATGGAAAATACCTTCATCAAGAAGCTTGATCAATTGTTGTGATAATGGCACTGTTTGTTTGTTTTTACAAAGAAGTGTGGGAAGGATTACAATGCGTTATAATTCATAACTGTTCTTTGCCGGCTTGTACTGTGCAGACCAGAATGCTTCGCTATCAACTCCTGGCTTTCCATCGGCATGGTGTTCAGCTGCAGCGGCATCTGGTCCGGGGAGTTCAAGTTGCTGGATGACTGCACTGCCACAGGATGGGTTTGCGTTGGCAATGCGATACAGCAGTCATCCCACATCATGAGCTACATGTTTATGTAATTTATATTGTCGCTCGTCCAGCAACGTCAAGGCTCTGCATGTAAACACAGGAGAACACCATAATAAAAAATACTACTCAGGGGATAATATTATAACTTTGGATTATCAATTCCGTCACATTTATGAGTTCCTGTCTAAATCATGCCGTGATATTGATTGCTATCTGCTCACAAAGTACCTTGTATTGTAACAATACTCTGCCTAATCACTACCCTCCGCCAATTATTAGATTCACACAATATTCACAACGTATGCAACACGATGCTGTCTATTGACACTACTCTTCTCCCGTTTTCATCTCCCTCTACCTTATGAATACTCTACATTACTGGTTTCGTTTTTACCCTTTCCATTGCTGCCAGCTCCCAGTCTTTTTCAATGCACAGCACCACTTTGAAATTTTTGTGATTTGATGTACACATACTTTGAAGTTGAAATTCGAATTACACGATCAGATTTTTGTTCCACATTTTCTATTTATTTTTACTTCAAGCACAACCCTACCGATGAAGGGAAAGAAGCAGCAGAGAGACACCTACTGAGTCAAATGACTGCCACTGTCAGTTCTCAAACAAAAATTTTTTTTTCAAATATTAATTGAAATATCTCACCTGTTAGTGTTGCTTACTAGCCACTAGTGACTCGAGTTGTTCGTCCACGAAATTTGCAATTATGCCACTACGGTACCAGCAAGAGCAGGTAAGTTGGCATAGAACAACAGCTATGCACAGCCATGTTCATCTCCTCTTCACTTTGGAAGGCACTACAAGCACCCTTCATACCTCGATATTGGAGTGGAAGCAAATTCACCATGAGTTTTCCAATTCGCTACAATCGATCTCGGGGTGATGATCGTGTCTTCTTCATCACCACTTGCAGCCTGGACAGCCTTCGGGAAGACATGTGTCACTCTCCTGCTCAACAGATTCCTACATCTAGATTGGGTTACCGTGAGGGAACGAAATAGAGCTGCAAAACATCAAAGTAATTGTTTTCTTCCATCCAATTACACTGCTGAGCATGCACAGCATGGTGAGAGCTAAGCAGTACGCACATCATCAAGCCCAATTTCCAAATATGGAAGGTGTTATTTATGACATTTGACACGGTTCCTCTTCTCTGATCGGCTCGAGACATAGCTCATCGGAATCAGTGCCCAATTCTCCTTCGGATAAGCCATACTTATTTTTGGCGTTCAGTTTCCCTTGAAGCGGTCTATTCGCTGCAAATTACTGTAATTAGCGAGGTTTTGCATTCCGAAATTCGGCAAAAAGATTCGGCACGCGGGAGCGAGGTCGAAAATGCACGCGAAAATTCGGCATGTTTGTTCGGAAAAAGCTCACTTTGCCGAAAATATTTTTCGGATGAATTTTCTGTAGAAGAGCGCTAGCGCGTGATTTATTCAAAGAGGTTTCTTATCTCGGCATCGCTTCCCAGGCGTCTTTGGCGACATCAGCGTCGTCAGCTACCTCTGATTGCTCCTCCACTGCTTGTCTACTCTCTTTCGCCTGGAGTGTCCTCACCGTCATCTGTGTGGCTGAAAAGACTATGGCGATACTCATAAAATTTGACTTGGCCATGGAGTTGGTTTTTCTGAGGCGACTGAGGAGACAGGTTAGGCCCTCGGCTCTTAGGGCGATCAAAGTTCGTTGGAATCAGCAAGAATAGGAGCACGGGACAGGA